GCGGGCGCCGCCCCCCTCGCGACGACGAGGACGAGGACGAGGATGACGACGAGGACGAGGACGAGGACGATGACGAGGACGAAGACGACGATGACGACGAGGACGACGACGACGACAGCGACCAGGACGACGACGACGACAGCGACGAGGACGACGACGACGACGATGACGGGGACGAGGACAGAAACGCGGACGAGGAGGAGGAGGATAAAGAGGAGGAGTTGGAGGAGGAGGTGGACGAGGAGGAGGAGGAGGAGGGGGAGGACGGGGACGAGGAGGAGGAGGAGGAGGAGGAAGAGGAGGAGGAGGAGGACGAGGAGGAGGAGGAGGAGGAGGAGGAGGAAAGGGAGGAGGAGGAGTAGGAGGAAGAGGAGGATGAGGAGGAGGAGGAGGAGGACGAGGAGGATGATGAGGAGTGCCAGTGTAAGCCCAAGAGTCATCACCGATGTTAGAATACACCCTCCAAGCTCCCTCTTTACAGGCAACTGCCTCGTTGGAAGACAACCGTTTGAAGACCCTGAAGCGTGCCAAAAGCATTGTTATCGGATTCCGACGCTACGGATCAACTTGATTGTTGCGTGTTGACGATCCCAACATCTCGATCAACGTAACTGTTGCGCCCCACATTTTGAAAACCACCCGCCTCAATTCGTGAAGCCCATGCAAATGTTTCAGAACGAATGTGTGCCGGGCTAAGGCGAGAGTCATATTGTGAAAACCACCTGCCCTGAATCCGTGAACCGCTTGCATTTTTTAAAACGGAACGTGCGCCGCGCTGAGGCGAGAGCCATATTTTGAAAACCACCTGCCCTCAATCCGTGAAATTCTTGCGTTTTTCTAAACGGAACGTGCGTCGCGCTAAGGCGAGAGCCGCATTTTGAAAACCACCTGCCCTCAATCCGTGCAGCGTTTGCATTTTTCAACATGAATGTGCGCCGCGCTAAGGAGAGAGCCACATTTTGAAAACCACCCGCCCTCAATCCGTGAAGCTCTTGCTATTTTTTAACACGACTGCGCGCCGCGCGAAGGCGAGAGCTACATTTTGAAAACCACCCGCCTTCAATCCGCGAAACTCTTGCATTTGTTGTCAAACGAATGTGCGCCGCGCTAAGGCGAGAGCCACATTTTGAAAACCACCCGCCTTCAATCCGTGAAGCTCTTGCCAATCTTTCAGCTTCAGAGGCGTAAGGTGGTGGGAAGTCTCATGCGAAACGCTTGGCCCGCCCTAAAAACTGGCCTCGGGGTGCGACAGGGAGAAGTTATTCATTAGGAACAGGAATGCAGGAGGAGGAGGAGGAGGCGACAGCGGCGGCGGCAGCGGCTGCGGCCGCTGCCCCACGCCAGGCAAGAGGCTGGAGGATCGGGGCCCCCCAGACCTCCGACGATGTGATTTTTCAATAGCGGTGTCTTTCCTTCATAGTGGCCTCTGGGAAACAGTTCCGGGCTCCAGGACAATCAATGAACCTGGTGCGACCCCACTTGGAGGACAGCTTCCAACTGCATGGGCGCATTGCTTGGCATTGCTTGGCATTGCTTGGCATTGCTTGGCAGTGCTTGGCATTGCTTGGCATTGCTTGGCGGTGCTTGGCTTTGCTTGGCATTGCTTGGCGTTGTTTGGCATTGCTTGGCATTGCTTGGCACTGCCTGGCATTGTTCGTCATTGCTTGGCGTTGCTTAAAACTGCTTGGCACTGCTTGGCATTGCTTGGCATTGCTTGTCATTGCTTGGCACTGCTTGGCATTGCTTGGCATTGCTTGGCATTGCTGGGCATTGTTTGGCATTGCTTGGCATTGCTTGGCACTGCTTGGCATTACTTGGCATTGCGTGGCACTGCTTGGCATTACTTGGCATTGCTTGGCATTGCTTGGCGTTGCTTGGCATTGCTTGGCATTTCTGGCACTGCTTGGCATTGCTTGGCATTGCGTGGCTTTGCGTGGCTTTTCGTGGCATTGCTTGGCATTGCTTGGCACTGCTTGGCGTTGCTTGGCATTGCTTGGCATTGCTTGGCACTGCTTGGCATTGCTTGGTATTGCTTGGCACTGCGGGGCATTGCTTGGCATTGCTTGGCATTGCTTGGCATTGCTTGGCATTGCTTGGCACTGCTTGGCACTGCTTGGCATTGCTTTGTATTGCTTGGCGGTGCTTGGCTTTGCGCGGCATTGCTTGGCGTTGCTTGGCATTGCTTGGCATTGCTTTGCTGCTTGGCTTTGCTCGGCTTTGCTTGACATTGCTTGGGATTGCGTGGCATCGCTTGGCGATGCTCGGCGCTGCTTGACATCGATTTGCATTGCTTGGCATTGCTTGTCATTGCTTGTCATTGCTTGGCATTGCTTGGCATTGCTTGGCGACTCTTGGCTTTGCTTGGCATTGCTTGGCATTGAATGGCGTTGCTTGGCATTGCTTGGCGTTGCTTGGCTTTGTCTAGCATTTCTTGGCGTTGCTTAGCATTGCTTGGCTTTGCTTGGCACTGCTTGGCACGGCATGGCATTGCTTGGCATTTCTTGGCGTTGCATTGCTTGGCATTGCTTGGCGTTGCTTGGCATTGCTTGGCATTGCTTGGCATTGCTTGGCGTTGCTTGGCATTGCCTGGCGTTGCTTGGCGTTGCTTGGCGTTGCTTGGCGTTGCTTGGCATTGCTCGTCATTGCGTTGCATTGCTTGGCGGTGCTTGGCATTGCTTGGCTTTTCGCGGCATTGCTTGGCATTGCATGGCATTGCTTGGCATTTCTTGGCGTTGTATTGGCATTGGCGCTGCTTGGCGTTGCTTGGCCTTGCTTGGCCTTGCTTGGCCTTGCTTGGCATTGCTTGGCATTGCTTGGCATTGCGTGGCATCGCTTGGCGATGCTTGGCACAGCTTGGCACAGCTTGGCATTGCTTGGCTTTTTGCGGCATTGCTTGGCACAGCTTGGCATTGCGTGGCTTTGCGTGGCACTGCTTGGCATTGCTTGGCATTGCTTGGCATTGCTTGGCACTGCTTGGCATTGCTTGGCTTTGCTTGGCGTTGCTTGGCATTGCTTGGCGTCGCTTGGCATTGCTTGGCTTTGCTTGTCATTGCTTGGCACTGCTTGGCATTAATTGGCATTAGCATTGCTTGGCCTTGCTTGGCCTTGCTCGGCTTTGCTTGGCATTGCTTGGCGTTGCTTGGCATTGCTTGGCTTTGCGCGAAGAGGCAGGACTCAGAGAGCAGGGAGCAAGTAGCAGGGCGGTGGGACGGGAGGCGGCGGCAGAAGACGCCGGCAAGGCCGCAGTCCGGCATGGAGGTCCGTGTCCCGGCGTCCCCGAATGGGGCCGGCGGATCTTCGGGATCTTCGGCATGACGTTTCCCATCTGCACGAAGCAGCTGTGAGCTCCTGGCTCTCCCGCGCAGCCCGTCCAGGGGCCTGCGGGGGGCCGGGTGGGCGAGGACGCACCGAGGAGGCCGAGAGAGGGGATGAGGCGTGTGCCCTCGCCTGACTTCTCCGCCGCCTACCCGCGCCGCCTTCGGCCGTAAGCGCCGCCCGCATTCGCCGCGTCTGGCGCAATGTTCTGATGTCGCCATAATAATCTAGTTTTGCCGAAGAAGAGAACAACTGCAGAAACAAGCACTTTTAGAGGTCCGCGCAGATCTTCGGGATCGGCGCCAGGAACCCTTCTACTTGGCGCACTCAGCGCGCCGGGGGCGGCGCCGGAGGCGCTGCCCGGGGGGCTCAGCGCCGATCCACGAAGTCCGCGCGGTTCTCCGAAAGCTCATGCGTATCCGCGGACGGCTTGTGTGCACCGTGCCTCGTTGACGTCCCCCCGAGGCATCGTCGATCCTCGACCTGGGAGTAGCGCGGTGCATCGTTTCTCGGCCCTCAGAGTCGAACCATTGTGTTTCCCGTAGCTCATGCAGTTTTTTCTTCCTCGTTTGAGGAGGCCAATTCGTCCGAATTGTTTCTCCGCCGAGCCTCGGGCAGCCCGCCGCCCGCCGCGCCGCGCCGCTCGGCGACAACCCGCGCGCGCGCGCGGGCAGCGCCCCTTCGGCTGCCGGCCCAGGCCCTGCCGGACGCTGGCCGGGTCTTGGGCAGGGGGCTCTGCCGGAAAGGGGCGGCCCGCCTTGAATCGAATCACAGAAGCGGTACAAACATCACTGCACGGCACGGAGGTCCGCGCGGACTCCTCGGGTCGGCGCTGGGCTCCCCCCCCTCCCTACGCGCGGACCTCAAAGAAATCATGTTGACCCCGCTTTTGCTTCACATAGTGCTTGTTCTGAGGAGCGGGGCCTGGCTGGCGGTCGGGCGGCTGTGTTGCCGCCATCGCCGCCCCGTCGCCGCCCCGTCGCCGCCCCGTCGCCGCCCGTCGTCTGGGCCTGCGGTCTGGCGGCTATGTTGCCGCCGTCGCCACCCCGTCGCCGTCCCGTCGCAGCCTAGATTTTTTCCCCCATATCCTAAGGATGGGGTTCTTGTTATTACTGAGACCGCGCGGAACACCTCACGCTCACACCTCCCACCCTCAGGTCATCATTCTCTGACTCGCTCACATGTAGACTCACTCACATTCAGACTCATTCATGTGCACTTGCTCTTAGATCCCCGGTACTCCAGTTCCTCATGTTCGGGATCACTCACATGTAGACTCACTCGCACCCCTGGTACTTCCGCGCTCAGACTCACACACACGTTGTGAGAATGTCTCAGGCGAGGCGCTGGTTTCAGCACTCCCAGGGGGGACGCCAGGGTTTTTTTCACGGGCCCGTTCGCGCCCAGATTGGGGGGATGTCTCAGGCGGTTTGCTTCTTTCGGTGCCCAACATTCTTCTCTGTCGGAGCAGTTCCCGAGGATGTCTCAGGCGAGGCGCTGGTTTCAACGCTCCCAAGGGGGGGCGCCAGGGGGTATATCACGGGCCCGTTCGCGCCCAGATTGGGGGGATGTCTCAGGCGGTTTGCCTGTTTCGGTGCCCAACATCCTTCTCTGTCGGAGCAGTTTCAGAGGATGTCTCAGGCGAGGCGCTGGTTTCAGCACTCCCAAGGGGGGGCGCCAGGGGG